CACACACACAACTGCAGCTTCTTCCTGGTCGTACAAGGTAGCATACATTATATTAATGTCGAGTGGCACCTATTTGAGGGATAAAAACCATTTCGGTAAGTTCCCTTCCCTGGAGAAATAAAACCTTCTGTTACGTAGTTTTAAACATCAAAGATCATTGTGTGCATCATGAACATACGATTCTATTCTTCGCGAATTTTAAATGAAATGTCCACGCGAAAGAAAACAATGTAGCGCTCGTTGGCTGAAACAGTAACATGGTTCAATATTTACATTTGTTCTATTATTAGAAAGAATAATACGGACTTCTGTAGTTCTTTTTCTATTGTAATGTGTCATTATTATGCTTAAAATATTTACTTAAAGAAGACAGGTAATGAATTGTATTTGAATAAATCTGTGCACACACTGTCCTTGCCTATAAATCGCATTGTTTTTTTACACATATTTCCGCGTTCACTAAGTTCTGTGAAAGTCCTAGCACGCGAGATCTCGAGTAAGGTCGGCAGCGCCCTCGTTCCTCATTCGGCCCATCGTCGCCATCCCCGGCCAGGCCTCCCTGGCGCGCGCGCTTTCAATCGCAGCCGCGAAATTATATTTGCGGGCTTCCCGGCGCCTGCCCCGCGCTCGCCAAATCCATTTCGATACCTGACCGCGGTCTCGCCCCCGCCCCCGCCCCCGCCCCGCCCTGACGCTTCTTACGAGACGGACGCGAGGCGTGGGAGAGCGCTCCGGGCGCCGTTGAAACCGGAAAAGTTAAAATTAATGAGAATAGCGGGATCGCATATGCGGCGTTTTTCGAGCTCTCTGGAGCATCGAGAAGCGAGTAAATCCGAGGGGCGAGGGGCGTAAGCGACGGGCGTTGAGCGGCAGACGTGGGCCCGGGCACAAGGCGAGCAGCATGGCGGCAAGATCGGTGGGAAGGGCAGATCGAAAGGCAAGTGGTGAGGGCGGTGGGAAGGCCCGTAGGCGAGGAGGCCGGTGGGAAGGGCGGGATCAGGGCCGGGCGTAACACCGCGACCACTTCCAACAAGATTCCCGGCGGCGAAGCGGCGGGGCCGGAGCGGGGCGCGAGGTACGGAACAGGAAGCGAGCGAACAAGCGCTGAGCGATGGCGAGAAGAGCGCCAAAGAGGAAAGCCGGAAAAGCGTGAGGGGCCACGATCAGGAGGAAAGAACGAAAACGAGATGCGAAGGAGTGCGGGAAAAAGAAACGGATGGCGAAATGGATCGGCATAAGGAACGAGTAATCCAAAGTAGGCAAAACGTAAGCGAAACTTAAGGAAAACGAAAGTCCAAAGGGCGCAAGCAGAAGGCACGGTAAGCGACGGGAGCGAAAACAAACTGAGGGAAGGGCGCAGTGAAAGCTGGATGCGGGGTGGGGCCGGGGACCCGGGGCGGAGGCCACAACTGGAGACGACGGAAGTGTAGATGCAGTGGAAGCCCGCAGGGCGTGTACAAGTAAGGGCCGCGGCGGAGCGCGAGCCGTCGGCGCGCGACTCAGCAGGCTGGGCGGAGGCGGCGGCGGGGTCGGGGGCGGGGCGGGGGCGTTTGACAGACTCACCCCTAACCTTTGCGCGGTCAGCGCGGCCCGGCGCCGGCGCCGTCGTCGCCGCCTGCCGCCTCCGCCGAAGAGCGGGGGGCAAGAAGCGGAGAGCGGGGCCCCGCGTGTTGGCGCGCGACTCCCGAAATCCTCTAAATCAACCCCCACTTCCGTATCGATCATGACACAAATCGCATGCCAGAGGCCTTCTGCCAACTGATGGGTCGAGTGCTGGTGTCTGTGGAGCGGTTGCCTCCAACTGGCAACTGGTTGGAGATCGCCTGTGTGTGTATGTGTGTGTGCGTTTGTTTGATTAAAAACTGGAAACCTGTGAATGTCCGAACAAGTAATTTAGAAAGTGACATCTCTCCTAATTTCTTGTTTTTATAGATGTGCTTGTTTTTATGCATGGCATACTAGAGAGTACTCTTTCTTCATTCGCGGGTTGAAGAAAACTGCCTGTCTTTTATTAAATTCTAAGAAACCCAACAAAATATTTGTAATGGGGAAAAGAATAGTTTACAGGAGAAAATGTTTAAAACCGCCAAAAGGCATTAGGTAACAATTTCATCACAAATATTCCCCCAAAACACAAAGTAGTAAAAAAAAGTACTCTGTATGCAGTCCTTTAATTAAACTTTTGTCTGTCTGCATGACTTTATCTACATGCGTTCCATATATTGTACTACGCATGTAGATGAACACACCTGGCAGACGCACGCAGGAACGTAACTGCTTGTCACGAGCATCAAATGCACTTTTAAAATGATGAAGAAAATGCCATGCACGATGGTCACTAACCTGCTATTCAGCACGTGAATCGCTGCAAAATTTCTTTCCCAGATCCTTTTATTTCGGGCTCTGTCATTCTGTCCTCATAACAGTTGCGTTTGCAACACACCCTCCAGCCACGTACACCTTCCCGCGTCTACTTCCAAAACCTGACTAATTTCGAATCCCGGCCGAAGCGACCCGGCGGCGCGAGTGGCGAGGAGGGGAGAATCCACGAGAGGGAGGGGGCTTGCGATGCGCGCGCACCGCTACCCCGCCAACGCCACCCCGCGGAGGAGCCGTGCAGCACGCCGCAGCAGACTCGGCGAAGCCGAGCCTCAATGGAGTTGCGTTTAGGGCAGCCATTCTTCCTAAGAATTGAAGTAAATCAACAACAAAATCTTTTTATAACATCTGCATTTAATTATATTTAAACGTGTATTAATCAATATGGTATTGACAAGTGAAAGAAATCACAGATACAATATACTTCGACTCGACGCACTTCTTCCGTACCAACGTTTAATTTCCGTCCAACGTGAAAATGTTTGTTTGCTAATACAACTGAAGGGCATGGTTCATGATTGTCCTATCGCACTGAATTCATTCTGAAAAAATGAGACGAAAAATCTTTAAATCAATCCTTCCTCGTCACAACGTAAAAAAGAAATGACTCTGTAGATCAGCGTTATTTCTTACACAGAACCACACTGTAATAATCGATTTGGCGAATCCGTTAGTAGTAATATTTTACTTGTGTCGAAAATGTGTCATAGAACAATCTAGACCCGAGCCTTTCAATTGTGTATGACTTATTTTAATATTCGGCTTATTATTTGGCTAAGTTATTGCAAAATAATCGAACAAGTTTTACTCATCGGCTTTAATTTTTTAATGTGCCTTCGTATCACGATAGTGATAGTATGTTGGGTTGAACATAAAATATAAACCAAGACGTATATTTTACTCGTAAATGTGTATTGAAATTGCCCATCAAACTTAGGTAACTTTTGTCACTTTCATTATTCTACAGTGATCAAAACACCAGGCAGGACAGAAAGAAAATTTACGCGTGGGAGCATAGCAGAGGATGATAATCAAGGGCGCCCAAAAATTCCCGCCTTTATTTCACATGGCGCTGTATGCAGTGTGGCAAATTACAGCAATAATGACAAACAAGAGAGTGTATCCTATCACTGATTTACGGGAAACATGTAATTACCAAAACACATGTATATGAAAATACATTTTAAAATAGTAACGCTTTCCACTTTTACAGGATCTATTAATTTGGGCTTCTCTCTGAAACAGAAACATTTTATTCGAACGTAGGGCTATAACAAGATGTGCCCATAGAATGCGTTGGAATTCACATTTCTTTCTTACGTAACACATTTTAGCCATGATTTATTTTTATAAATATTCACCTTTGCGACGAAAATCATAAAAAACTCTCTGCTGATCAAACATCATTCTAAATGAAGTACTAGATAACTACATCACCAATAAAGTCTTTTAAAATCACGTAGTCATTGGTAATATCAATAATTACAAATGTGTGTGCTAACAGGTAACGTGAACATTCTTGACGAACAAAACATATAGTGAGCATTTGGAGGAAAGTCAGCACAATCTCATCTTCTGCTTTTGGCAGGTAGAAAGTAGTAGTTCCTAGGCTGAGTACGACCTCATGAGTAGGCAGGCGCTCGTAGTGGATAACGGTACCTAGGATTCTACCGAGAACAATGAAGCTTTCTGAATTTGGCAGAATACGAAATTTTGTATCAAGTTTATTCTGTTTAAAAATTTCACTCAAATTGCCATATACTGTATTACATTGTATTTTATTAAAGCATATTTATGAACAAAATTCATTTCAACATTCATTTATGAACAAAATTACCAAAGAGAAATATAGTGTAAATGATTATTTTCATTTAAAATTTCAATTGCATATTGAATGATTTCAGAACTCTCCTTGAAGGATGACAACTTTACCCTGAAAATTTGCTCTCTCAATATCTCCACCTCTGATTTATACTGTTTTGGTTACTACATCACAAATTGTATGTACACACAAACTTATACATCAGTCAAATCTTCACCCCAAAATATATTTATTTGATTAAAATGATTTATATTCTTCACTTCACGTGGAAATGAAAACAGGAGACAACTCAGTCCCAACATCTTCCCTTAATGACCAGGTTACTCAACTATTTCGAAGAAAATTTGTGAGGAATAAAATAACTGCCAAAAGAAGTACATAAAAAATTAAATTTTCCCTACAATTTTAATTTCAAAATACATATAATTTCTTTATTTTAATCATCAGATACAATGCAATATCTCACCTAATAATAAAGTACTGCTGTATTGCAGCCATAGTGCACAACAGATGAAAGATGATTTGATTGCATTTCAGTGACAACCTCACATTTTTTTTAAGATCAACATTAACAGTATAATTTAAAATATTCAACTACAAGAATTAAGCTACAAAAAGATAAGCATCAATGCATCATCAACCCTTTAAACAAACGAAAAGTGAATTCATGAATTAATGTCACAAAAAGTCATTCCTTTGCAAACGAATTGGAAATAATGTATTTCTGTACATCTATAACACCTCCATAGATTTTTGTGATTTTTTCATGATAATGCCTTTCAGCAGGCATTTAAGTAACTTAATCAATTCCTCCAAGAATTTGTAAACATCCATGAGCCAGCAATGTAACTGCTTTCAGAAGCTACAAGTTTGGCTTAACATGTTTCCTGAAAAAGTATTAGCATTTCATTCATTCACATTTAAGAAAAACAAAACAGGGAAGGGATTCTAGAATAGAAATTAATTTCTAAAAGACCAATATCCCTAAACTTAAAAATGCCTTTTGAGCAATATTTCTCATTCTTCTCCAAAGTGAATTCCTTATCTGATTTTGTAAAATGTGAACTATAATATTGCAAGTTATCGTTTATAATGTTTGCTAGCAAAACTTAGCTTGTTTCAGTTGTGAAAATCTTACACAGCAAAAAAATCTTGTGTTTATACATGGTTTGATATGAATGAAACAAGTTCTTGCAACATTTTAAGTGGGAATAAGTTAGGTTTGAACTATATCTCTTCATGAAGTTATGGGGGATCCCATAAACTTAGCAAAAATGCAAAAAAGTTCATTTTGGTGAATACAGCAATGAGCTGGATTTTGCTAATGTATGATATTTTTAAAAAATCTTATTCAATCAGCATAATTTCAAGAATTTCATAATTGCCATTCCATAATATTGGTAAAAAAAAATGTTTACACAGAAAGCAGACTTCAAATTGAATCCTTCATTCTGATGATTCAAAGACATTCTAAAATTGAATATATAACAAAATAAGAAAAAGCTGAAGAGACAAACACATAAAATTTGGACGCACATACAGTTAACCAACTGAACTAAAATTGCATTAAAAAACAGTATAGGTCTTTATGCAAAATCTCAGAAAAAAGACAATAGCAATAAAACTGACCAACTATAATGATATCTCCTAATTGCACTGCAATGGTCATTTTCAACCCTACATATTTTCAATTCAATATTTTCTCTCTAAGCTATGCAGAGATTGCTGCCAATCAGATAATCTTAGTTCCACAAAGAAGTGGTAGGCCATGGTTATGGTTGTGCATTGTTGTTAATTATTTACTCTCCAGTGGCATCCATCATCTGACATTTACATCATCACCACCACCATCTTAAGCTACAGGATGTTAGGCCTATCATCTTTTTCTATTTGAACAGTAGCACATACATGAGAAATACACTTCTAGCAATATTAAGATGCAAATTGTTAAAAACAAATTACAATTACTTCATTTTTTAAATTCTTAACTTTTAATGACAATGGCACTTATAGAACACCATTCAATGTATTTTTTCCATCCTTACAAAAAGTGAAAAGGAAAAACTTGGAGTTGTTTTCAAAAAATCCTTTTTTCATATTTACAGATAATGTAGGCTACATGGAAATCTGTACATAATATATTTTAAAGATCTCATAGATCCTCACCAAGATAATTACCATGCAGAAATGAATAAAATCAATGTATAACAGTCTTGGGGGCCTGATTACATTTCAAATATTATAATGAACATGACAGAGAGAAAATTTTACAATACCAAATATGATTTTTTACAATGCAATCAATAATGTTAGCATGACCAAAGATAGAAAGTTAGTAACCATTGTACCAAATTTTAAGTGATGGGTTTACATAATCCTGCAGCACAGTTTTTTAGTAGTATGTTTGGTATGTCATCATGTGCTTGTCCTTTGTTGATGTTAAGTTGTGTCAATATACGAAAAACATTATCATAGGTGACTTCAAATCTGGAGAGCTCCGCATCTGGATACTCTTCGCCAACATCACTTCCTGTTGAAGATCCTTTCTTTTCTTTTATGTTCTCCCTATGAATTCTTTATTGGTTTTATGTCCAGACTATTTCCAGGCCACGGTACAATCCTTACCTGTTTCAGTTGCAAATAAGTTGAGATACTCTTAGATTTATGACATGTTCCACACAAGAAAACAATGTTCTTAAGTTCTCTTGCTCTTAAATACAATGATTTCTTCTATAAATTTTTTAAAAACCTGAAAATTAATCTTTAGTTTAATAATTTGAAAGTCTGTATACTTTCTAAGAAAATGGTCCAATGGCAACACAATAGATTTCACCAGCAATAGCAAATATTTCCATTTAAGATTCAAAAACAAATTCAGTTAACAATGTTCTATATTTAAGTACATGGAATTTTTATAATTGATTTTTGAAAATGCATTTTTTGTGCCTGGATACCTTTGTCATGGGTTGACATAGTCATGGGGCGTTCTGAGATAGTCTCGAGAGGATAGGAGAGCGTCTCGCTGAGAGGGATCCGAAACTGATTACGCCCTACAGGAAGATATTTCGTTAGGGCTTGGCGTACAGGAGAAACATACACATACACTGTTTGTCTTAACCTAGTTTATTCAGTGGCTCTAGTATTATTAGATGTGAGCATAGTGGTAGCAAGGCTGAAGGCCTATTTTACAAAGTTTTAGCTACTACCATAAAGGCTCTACTGGTACTCCACATTACCCAAGTGAACTCTGAAGACCATTGAAGACCTGAAGACAGTGTCGATCCAAGTGTTCGAGCCATAGCAGGAGCAAGGACGCGAAAGTGTGAGTGCCCCTGGAAGGGCATTGTAGGGTTATACGAGGTCGGATCACATGACAACCGTGCCATGTGCAGGCGGCGTGTATCATGAGGTGTCGTGTGCAAAATAGGGCAGGTACCAGGGGATGGCCCCTACCGCAATGACATCCTGTTATTCGTGGCTCATCCTGTTGTCTGTTGATCCCCAAGCCACCGGACTGGCGCCTTGGCCCACAGCAGGCATCCGGGTGGGCGAGCCCGTACTGCGCACTTGCACTCGGTGTACGTGACGCGAAACTCACAATATTGGGAATCAAAGAAATGATTTCTGTGACACCTTAAATAACTTTTTGACGAAGTAAATATAGCATAAATTTGAAGGCCATAATTTGAATTAACAAAGTGGCATTATTTTTAACTTTTAGTTTGTCATAGGCATGGACAAAAGCATTACATACACTGTAAATGTAGAAAGTGCTAATATTGAAACATATAGCAAGTTTAAAAACCGTTTTTGCTATTATTATGATGTAGCCATGTCTAAAAAAAAGTAAAATTAACAGACAGAGAAACAATCAAACATTTGAGTAAAGTACGATTTGCTGAAGCACATTTTTGAAACTGTATTGATTGTAAAATATAATTCACATCTATATACAAAGACATTACTAGTACATTTTTATAATACAAAGAACAAAAATGTTTGAACACTCATTTATGTAAAAATAAAAATTTCATACAGAACTTTGTTTATACAATCATCTGCCAAAGCATCTCCAAGATTTGCCTGAACCAGGTGCATTCAAATGGAGTCTGCATTCCTTCTTATCTTCTCATAACTTTTTTAAGTGTTCAAGAATTTATGAAGTATAAGGTTAGGAAATCTTCAAAATACTTAGATAGCCCATACTACCCAGCATTTGAGATTTGTACTCATTAAACTAAACCTCTTTGCTCTTCCATGACAACTGCCTATAGGCATTACATTGTGAAGAGTGGAATAGTGACACAGCCACATGTTAGTTGAGTGGGACCATTAGATGTTCTTCCTTTTTCTCCAGGCATCTTAATGCCAGCAATACACCTAGTGCAAAAATACACACCACCCTCCAACTGCTTTCAGAAGCAAGTATATATGTAACTAGGTTTTCGGGAGTCATCTCAACAGGGACTCATTGTTGGGGTTCGAAATGTAGGTACTGAAAAAAAACAACAGGTGTTTGGTGTCTACAGAGTGTAATCCAGTTTGAACCTGTTAAGGTAGGTTCTGAAGCATACGTGTTCTGTCAGAAACTGCGTGAGATAATAATTTATCTCACCCTGCTTTCAACTGATTAAAGACCATTATATTAATTGGAATCATTACAGCTATGACACGAACAGCTTCGTTTGAGACTGTGCGGAACGCACATGCAATCCTGAGCGTATATAGCCAATACACTGACGCCATGCTTCTTACATAGCTCATCTTATCTGTAGAGATGGCCCAAACTGGTGATCCATGCAGAGCCGATGTGACAACCGAAGCAAGCAGCTTTCTCTTTTCATGACTAGGTCCTCCTGTGTTTGGCATTAACCTATTCAATGCCACATTCATCGCCACTGATTTCTTGCTAGTACAGTTCAAGAGTATGTTGATCATGATGCCACGCATTTTTATTGCAGAGTAACAATGTACTATAGAACGAAGTATGTATACATTATTTTATTTTGTTTAGGTATGAAATTCTTGTACACAAAAGTGTTAGTTGTTTTTGGAAGATTATTTGGTGTGATATTATTACACCATACACACATACATAGATACAGTAAATTACCCAATTGCTTATATCATATAAGCATACTGTTTTGTTAGGTATATTTCTATTGTTTATTATCATTATTATCTTGAACTAAAATTGCTTGTCCAATGTCTTTCTTTATGACCAGTTGCATAAAATAAACATTCCATTCCATTATCTACATAAGATATTGCAATTGTGAAGCCACTTCCAATTTCCCCTAGAATACTTTCATCAGAAACATAAACATCATCTTTAAAAAAATTGCAGCACAATGTAGCTCTGATTCCTCTTTTATCGTCCGTCTTGTCAAAAGATAACCTAAAAACAGAAATTTTTGAATTACTTACAGATTTTCAATATTCAAGAACTAATAAATGGATATAGATTTAGATTTATTTACTCAAAAAACAGTAGAAACAGTATGTGACATATGGGGGAGAAGATCATCAGCGCACATTTTCTTGAGTTCTAGAATCCCTTCCCATCATTTTAACTATACATAGTTGAAAGATGAGTAGAAGTTAAAGATAAATAAATATATAAAAATTAAATTAAAAAATGTGAGACTACCAACATTTGAAAAATAAGACATTTTTGTTTCCGAGTTAAAAAAACCTATTTCCAATGGTAAACGAATTGCAGATTTCATTTTCTGCAATGCTAACAAAATAGTAACTCCCCTTTACCTCTACTTCTACCACTACAAGCAAAAGGAGAGTTCAACAAAACGTGTGCATAGTAAAGCTACATTTACATCCAGAAGCAAAACAAGGGGATATCTCAGCATTTGCTCAATGGATCAGGGAAGCTGGACAAAAACATGATCGAGATGGGGGCTATTTACCCGGAAGCTGAAGTACATTATTTGTTACAAGCATGTTAAGTCGTTTTAAAAAAATTATACAATACAAATGTAAACTAATTAATTACATTTTTATTAACATAAATATTATTTTTCTTTTTGATAATCATATAGCCTCTAATTGTATAGACACAGTTATGCAGCAAAAAAGATTTTACTTTCAACTTAAACTTGTGTACCGACTCTGGCAATCTGGCAATGTGTTGTAAAGTAGTGTACATGTATATTATGTGGATTTCAGGTAGTGAGCTGTTGAACGACACTTTATTATATGATGTGTGTTGTAATTATAAATATCATTATTGCATGAAAATATGTTCTGAATGTTATTACAGATTTGTAAATAAATAAGCAAGGCAATTGTAAGATTCCAAGCTCAATGAACAGACGCTTGCAAGTATCACACAGATGGCATTTTTCATTATTCGAATAATTTTCTTCTGCGATATAAAGGTCTGGTTGCATGATGACCTTCCCCAGAATATTATACCATATCTCATGCGGGAATGCACATTTGCAAAATACACGCAATGAGCTGTATGAAGGCTGACAGAATTTGAAAGACTTTTGAATGCGAAACATAATGAACTTCTTTTTGTGTTTAATTCTGTTATATGTACATTCCATTTTAGGTTTGACTGATTTGAGAGACCTAGAAATTTTGTTACCTCAACATCAGCTAATTGTATATTGTTCATTTTCAATGGAGTATGCAAATGCTGATTTGAAATGAAACATTCATTGAAACTGTTTTTCCTTCGTTAACTATTAATTTGTTATTACAAAACCAATTTGAAACATCAGAAATTACTATTACTATTTACTGTTTACTTTTTGCAAAGAGCATTAGATTAGATTTAGATTTATTTAGCCAAAAGCCAGTAGAAGCTGTGACATTTGAGGGAGAAGAACATTCGTGTCATCAGCAAACAGAACAGTTCTTCCATTTTTAATAGAAGGGGGCATGCCATTTACATACAACAGAATGAGAATAGAACATAAGATCAAACCTTGCGGGACCCCATATTCAATTGGTAAAGAATCGGAAAGATAAGTAAATAATGTTATTTTTTGCCAGGTCAGTATTTCTACTCTTTGAGACTGATGTTTAAGGTACGAGGTTATACAATCTAGGCAATACCACGATTTCTATAAGAAGGTAATTTTGATAGCAAGATATTATGGTCAATAATGTCAAAAGCTTCCAAAAGATCTAAAAATATTCCACACATAATACACAAAATTACAACCCAATGTCTATTTTCCTTAAATTATTAATAGAAAACAATTTCTAATAGATTATCTTTATGTATTTAAAAACTTAATTGATGAACTTAGTTTTAGTGGAAATTGTTTCAGTGTTCCAAATTTTTAATGACAGCTTTAATGCATTTTGACCTGTTACATGCCAGTAGTCCATACTAATTTTGCACAGGCCTTTGATAAAGTAAATTTTAATTTTCTTGCACAAAAATTACAGAATTTGGTCATTCATGGAATATTTCTGTAATGGACTGGAAGCTATCTTTCAAGAAGAACTCAAAAAGCCAAATACAAGTCTTTCATTGCAAAAGATGGAGGTATCCTGAAGCTTACCTCAAGGTTCAGGGTTGACAACTGTTGCAAATACAAGTACAACTTTCCTTTCATATCCACTAGTCACCCACACTTTTGTTCCATTCAATACCCAATGATCTCCAACATACTTTGCAGAAGTAGTCTGCATCACTTCCTGCTCCTGTAACAAATAGAGTAAAACTCCATTTATAAATTTTGCACTTACGTGTTTTTCACTTTATGCTTTGTTGTTTGTAAGTCCCAATTACATTCTCATACTTCCCATATTAAATTATTTCACATATACTTTTAACATTCTCTTTTCACACTTATACATCCAAAATAAAAGTCTTGACCACATAATGACATACACAACAGGTAAGTGAGAAAGATTACATCATACTACAGGAGCCCAAGGGCTGATTGTATTAGCTGTTTAGGTTGTTTAGTTTTGTTGGTAGGCAATGCCTGCCATTGTGTGCATATCCAACCTGATAGAACTTCAGAGACTGAACAAAACCACAGGGTGCAAGGATAATAATGCTAGTGCTTTCTAGGATCCCTACAACTTTGTGTAATGTTCACTTGTCGCCCAGTATGGATTTGCCAAATGTTTGTGCGTCACCCAGTACAGATTCGTGAAATGTTTGTGAACATTACTATGTAAACATCTGGCCTATTTACATGAAATATATGGGTATCAAGAATTGTGGGCAATAATGGGGCAAATGTCAAATTTTGTGGGGGAAATTAAAACTTTATGTTCAAAAATGGCGTAATATCAGACTCTTCAAAAAAGAGAACTTTCTTTCTTGACAATGCAATGTATCGAGAAAATGTTATGCATATTATTTTCAAACACAAGAGTATTGTCAAAATATTGAGTTTTTATTTTGTAAAAGTATTAATATAGTGTTTTATAAATGTTTCAAATCGTAAACCAATTTCATCAAATAACACACAAGATATAAAAAAGAACACATATTGTTTTGAAATGGCACATTTTGCAGTTGAAAAGAAATGAACATTTAAAATAGCACAAACCTGCTTAACTTAAAGAAAAACATCCAATTTTGGTACCATCTTGAAAGACAAGTAAATATGCATCGTTTTGGTTTTTCGTTCCACAATGATCAAGCCAGGTTGCATACAAGCAATTACGAATACTTACAATGGCTCCAGTTCCACCATAACATCTGTGGGATTTAAAGAAGTGTTACAATACCAAGAAAACATTAAAGAACATGAACAATTCAAAGACTATGACGCCTACACATGAATTCTTAACAATATTCAACTCTTGTTTATTTCCCTAAATTGCAAAAAATAAAGATTTAATGCTTGATATGAAATTCAAATTGAACTTTAACATAATTCTCATTAACACAATAATCAAATTAAACATATTTAAATTATGACATTTTATATACGTTTAAATTAAAGCTCTTAACCAAAAAACAAATTACAGTCATTGTCTTTACAATAATTACAGCAATAACATTAATAATCGTGTTAAATATCACAGTATTCCAGTTTGATATCACATGTTAGAATGTATTAGTATTAATTATGTCCACATTATTTAAGAATCAAACAAATTAATTGGAAGGGTATGAATTCATTGTACTACCATTATAACCAAGAATCTGAAGAGATTTAAATTTCATCTTGTGAAAAAAATTATACTATAAAGGGAAGCCATGTAAATATTGGTCAGAGGCATATAAAATTTCAGACATTTGTAGGATTAACTTGAGGAACAAATTTTTGAATTTATATAATAAGCTCACAACCACCAGGTATTAAACCCTAAGTAGATCAAATACATCTATCTAATCTATCTTATCTAAAGAATCAGTCTTCTCACAATTTAGACAACAAACATTAAAAGCAGTGAAATCAGTGCTGAACACCCCAAGAAAAATTTTACTTGAAGTGTGTGTGTGTCAATATTTTTAATAAGTTCATAAATGTAAATCAAACATTAAATTTAATGAATACTAAAATTGTACAATTAAAAATAAAATTATATAGTAATAATACTATTTACTACACAGTCTAATAGTTGAGTCAGTTAAAGAAATAGTACAAAAAAAGATATGAACAGCCTTTCATTTAATTGCAAAACCTTTTAGTGTTTGTTAAATAAAAGTAAAAAGGATAGTGCCGCACATTCTGTGAACGAACACTTGCCAAATTTAGGGTGGTGGGGTTGGTATGTATCCTAATTGTTGAGAAGCTATCATTCAGTGCTCACCCCACCCACAGCAAGTCAGTCTTTTGACTACATGAAAAGAAGGGAATATTACCCTACCGCCTTGGCTTCTCAGGAATAGGTGAACGGTCAATTACCGATTAGGGGTCACTTTTTGCAGGGTAAATTATTCATTTCATTATCACAGTTAATCACTTTTTTCTGTTCTTTTTTTTTACACAAAATCATTCATTTCTTCACAGTTTAAGTAAAATAATTCTCTCATCTACCAATATACAATATTTGATTACTACTGTGAGTTGCAATCATGGGTGGTAAAAGGAAGAAGAAGGATGTCTTCAACATACATCAAAACAAAACAAATATCTAGATCATCTATTAAAGACAGAACACATAATAGAAGCTCAAAGTTTAAACCATTCAAATGTTCAACCAAAAAATTAAAAAATAAATGTATCTAAAATGGATCTATGTAGTTTTCTTCCTACTTTCAAAATTCGCTCAAATTCATATCTGGATACCATGTCTAGGCTTCCAGTCCAATTTTCTTTGCACTATTTAGTGCAATGTAATTATCAATAAGAAATCAGAAAATCAGTTTGCTAAACAGATTAAAAAATCAACTATACTCCACAAACACAAGTGGCAACATCCCCTACACCTACGGACAAAGCCAACTTTGCTAACATTGAACTACCATACTCTTCTGAAACAATGATACCCATGAGCATACATATATATACCATGAAGCCTACGACTTCAATGATACCCATGAGCAAACATTAATACCATGATCTCCTAACTTCTTTATCTACAAATAATTGTTAATACTTCAATAGCAGAAATTTACACATTCAGTACTCATGATCTAGATAATTATGGGCCTGGTTTGACTAATTCACACAACAACTAAATATCATAATTTTTAAAAATAAACAAAATTAAAGAATTTAAATGTACACAAGTTCCAGTTACAACAATGATGAAAGGAGCAAAAAAAAATTTTAAATGAAAATAATTAATTTCTTAAACACTACTTTCTTCCCCTGGAGTCATATCCTCCCCCGTTCCCCAGTGAAAGGCCTGTCAGTACAAATGACTGAATGAAAGACAATAATTTACATTTTGCGTTGATTTCAGTCCCTGCACTAGCAAGAGGCCTGAACAACAATCCAAATAAGTAATTCATTTTTACTTTCTTGCCCTTACTTTGTAAAAAGAGAAAGGTTTGTACATGTGTGCTGAAAAACAGCAATTTTTTCATGAAAAAACTCTTATTGTCAGGCTCTCGTAATAAAAAAGTTGATAAATCTTGTTGCTATATATAGTAAATTAGTTCCTCTAACACAATACATAGTGAGAATTCATGTTTCGTGGGTCTTTGATACCAAAAATTGATTAACAGCACAATGTGAGGCCCTGCGAGTTTGACATATATATTATTTTATTTTTGTGGTTCTTAACATTATGTCTCAATTATATTTTCAAACTTTTCTCAAAAATGGCTCCAAATTTTTTTATCTAATGTTGTCCTTGTATAGTATGAAAAATATTTAAAAGAATGGTCTCATAATCATTGAAATCTATGGGAAATCTATGACTTCCTACAAGTATAACATTGAAGACAAATATTTTCCGTAATGAAATCTGTTTCTAAAGACATCTTGAAACAACAGAATGGACAATTTTTCAAAAAGATAAGTAGTTTTTACAAAATACAGGCAATTTTTAAACTTTCTTTTTCTCCTTATTTCAGAGAACAGTTAAAAAAAGTGATGCAGTCCCATTTTCAACATTTTCAAAAATAGGAAAATAGTTAACATTCCCCAACTGCAAATTTGAAGAAAAGAGATTTTTGCCTGAAACAAAATCTGTTCTAAAAAACTAGATCTATCAAAAAAGTCAAGTACAGTTTTTTGAAGAAAAGAGTAGTTTTCCTGCAATTTCAGTTTGAAATTAATGTAAATTACAAAAAAAAAAACATTTTGTGAAAAACCTTTCAAATTTTTCATTCAATTTTTTTCCCATGCATATAATAAGAAATACTTAAAAGAATGGCACATCTCTCATTTTTGTTGAACTCTCTGAATTTTCTAAAATTGCAAATTTAGAAATAATGTGAAAAAGCATGTGTTGTTTCAGCACCACTAGTTACATCTAGTGACATCATAGCTGTAATATAACCCAAGAGATCAAGCAATCTAATTTTCAAACAGTTAACAAATTCATTAATCCCATTACTACTATGTTTTTCTTGAATAGTGAACAAGAAACAAAAAATTGCTAAAATATATTGAAATGAAACAGAAATAAATACCTAAAATACAGCCAAAAATCATAAACATTTGTAGCAAATATAAACATTTTCTAAAAAATGAAAAAAGAACTAACTAAATGCCCTAAATATACATTGCAAAAATATTAGTTTTTCCACTTTTACCCACTAATAATCAATTCCACCTTGTTACTGGAGTTTTACAAAAGAAGATGATGAAAAATACAAGAGAATAAAAAATAGAAAGTATAAAAATAGTTGACAAAATATATGGGACATTATGATAAATAAATGAAATATATAATATAATATACTAAATAATATAAAATAAAATAAATAATATAATATGTACTCAACAATTAACACAAATAAAAAATTAAAACATTTGTAGGTTTAAACCTTCTTAATTCTGGTGTTAATGTAATGCCGGAAACATTCAAAGCAAAAGTGTCCATATCAATAGTAATTAAAGTATTAAATGACTTCACAAAGAATATACCTACATAATTGGCACATTATAAACTATCTTCAATTTGTTTACCACTCTAACTCACCTGTTCAACAGGAAAGAGTTGTTCGCTATCTGATTTTGCAGAAACTGGCTTTAACTCTTCCACAGCAAATTGGTGAGCTGTATTTTGTAGCATTTTGTGTGTTTTTGATAAACTGGCAAATGAAAAGTGCCGATAGAATACGTTATCAGAACCTAAAATAAAATGTATTATAATTAGCAGGTCAACTATTAAATTAAACATAAAAAATAATTAAATTTTACCTGGAACATTAACGCGGAAGAAAATCAATGATGTCATGATGAATGGGCAAAATTCTCATTCACTATGTAACGATGGCAACGATGTTTACCAAAACGCTAATGCCCAAAATGAACTTGGATTATTAATGAAGACATTTACACCATGAACATTTCAAGTTTCCCACACATAATTGTTGCCAATCTAATTCACTCCCGTTTTGACCTGTTCGTTTGTTAGATTCAATAACGCATTAAACTACAATAAGAAAAAAACACAAAATTAATTCACTGAGTTTTTATTCAACCAACTCAATGTACAACAATAGCACAATGTTTTGCTGAAATTCAATAAAAAATATTCTAAACTATGCAAATTTAGTTGTGCTTTCTCAACACAGCTGTTCAGAGCACTTTGTTTCTGTGCTCTTCCTTACTCAACCAAATTCAACAGAAACGAAAACAACAAAAATTAAAAACTACACGATGCCAAACCGTTAATAGAAACGCGAATATAACGCGATGAGTAACGATCAGGTAACGATCGCTTACGATTTCATACAGGACGTACAAGAGTAACGAAACTGGGGGAACAGTTTACAACAAACGATCGCAGAGCACCCACACTTACACTGTGTAAGTCATTATCTAAGCCGTGTATGTGATCTACACACAAACGTACACAATTATGTATATGATATATATTACTAGCTTTAAAATGTTCCCGGAATCCGCGAATTATTCATTCATAATATGTATTCGATAGCCAATTTTTCCTTATTAGATGTTGGTATTATACGCGCACGTTTTCTTGAGCCCCGGCTTACCTACCCCCCACTCCTTAGTTGAATTCAGAGTAAAAGATAGCCACAAGCTTTGTTGACAAACTGATAACCAGAAGTGTTTGCACCCGTCAAATAGAAAATAGTTTGCATCGAAAAACGAACTACAGATTTCATATAATAATCCTGTCAATAAAATAATCAAACTCCCCACTCCCCTCGCATCTAGCGAAATGAGGGGTCAAGAAAACGTGTGAGGATCATAACGTTCATGACGTCCCATCAGCAGAATTTCCATCGTCGTAGCGATTTTTGGGTTTGCATGGCAACCTAATTATGTTGCTCCTGCGTGTTTCTTACGGGGCCCTCACACTGGCAAAAAGCTTGCACAAAAATTTGAAGATGTCTGTTTTGTGTAAAAATATCGAGTGTGTAAGGGCAAATATTGTACAAAAAAAGGGTATTCAATATTTTTTGGGCGTTCAAAAGCTTTTTGAAAGTTTAGAAAATTTTTGCGGTCCTATCAATATTTTGTAGCATGAGAAGGTAGTGTGAGAGGGCTGAGAAAATACTGCACAGCCGGTCCGGATGGCCGCGATCGCTAAGACTGGCGCGGTTCGGGTCCCGCGTCGGGAATGGTTACATTGTGTTCGTCCTTTCACACCCTATCATCACCGTCATTATATCGTGTCTTCCTCACAGTTACCATACCGTTACACGCTATAGTGGTCGCTAATGACCTAGAAGTTGATGCGACCTTAAATAACACAACAACAACAAAAATGCACAATATTTCATTAGCCTGTCTGGTGCTGTCACAGGAACAATCATACATACTAGTTATTGTTTATAAGTAGCAAGTAGTTCGAAGAATAGAAACATGTTTCAACAGTATTTTTGTAGATTTTATTTTGCCGAGACGAGGAAATGATTGAGATGCCCCCCCCAAATAATAATAATAATAATAATAATAATAATAATAATAATAATAATAATAATAATAATAATAAAATACTCGCTACTTTACCATCGTTTAATTTATCCCCCTCCCCAATCGTGTTTTATTAAGTAGATGAAAATACAACATCCGGGTGATTCGCATTTATTTATTCATTAAGTGTTCTCATACCACCCTTCCGGTTTTCACGAGAGTAATCTTAAGGCCCATGAAAGCGTCGTATTGTTTTATAAAAAGGGTTACAAATGTCTGCGTTATTTTTGGTTTCACTCCCCTCCCCCCTAAATTTTAGTAATAATTTATTATCGAACAACGTCTTCATGGGTGCGAAAACGTTCGATTCCACATGTAGAAACATTTCCGTTGCTATAGGTGTATAGGTCGCTCCCGGCCCTTTGGAAAGTAAAATATGATGAATTCAGGGACAGGGACAAAAAGGCACAGGTGTGGACTTTTATTGGAGGTGTACCAAGAAAAATACCTCTCAGGTACAAAAGATGAAGTCAAAAATAGGTTCAACTCTCAGCGCACTAACTTCAGAACCGAGCTGAATAAAGTTTTTGCTGCTAGAAAATCAGGAACAGGTCCAGACTTTGTGTGAATCGACCAAATGGTTCTCCAATGCCTTCGCACAATTCCTGACAGACCAAGAAACTCCGATTCCTTCTATAAATACCATGAAAAATGAAAATGAGGTAGGTAATCAAAGTGATATTGTATTTGAATTTCTTGGTTTTGAGTAGGTAGGTAAATAATATAGATTAGTGTATATAAACAGTGTACATATAATCTAGGAATGCACCAAACTATGAAGCAATACCAATTGATTTGTCCTGCGAATCAACTGCACCAGGTCCATTGAAATACTTAGTGAAAGTATCTCTACCAGTTTTTGCTCTCGTCGGATTCCTGACACCGCGATTGTTTTGAAGCGGAATGTATCGTATAGTTTCCGGTCTCCAAGATCCAGCAACTCTTTGTCTAATCTCTACAAGTTCTTGGTCCACAGAGCCTACTGGCATATATGAACTCGCTTGATGTTGTCGATGTATAAATATATCTTAATAGACAGACAAAACAGTTTTTCAGAAATACATTTAGAAAAGTATCTTGTCACATGTTTTAATTTTTTTTAACCTAAATGCAGAATGTTCTTAGTTCAATGATTTTATGTACTTTTACTTAATCTTCTCCGTATTCCCATGTATCAGGTTACGAACAAATGACAATGTTCCAGTCATAGTTACTTATGTAAAATTAAAAATTAGAATTATTTAAAAAAAATATTTTTCTACAGGTGATAATTTTATTCATGTTTCAATGAGGCAATACCGTTGTGGCAAAATTATAATATTTCTATAAATATTTTGCAATGCATTTTAGTAATAGACATTTATTTCCTTGTGATTTTTATACTGCATGATTATTGCACATTTTAAAGATTTATCGTACATGTTATATGGCTTTTTGTCATATAATTTTGACGTTTGTACTGCGTATAAATTCCAACTCTATTGATATCTATTGAATCATTCATATCAATTCTAATAATGTATGTACCCCTATCAAGAGATTGCTAACCCCTCAATATATACTCTAGGGGAAGCGGGGTCAGAGGGGTCACTTTTTGTTTTCAATATAAATCAGTACGAATTGTTCCTATGAACAAGTATGTGCTTTTATATTACAGATTACTTATTATACTTATGCACACTTATACACAAAGTAATCCATAATTCACTAAAGCCCTCTAAAATATCGAATTTCCAAACATTTGCATTTGGTCTCCGTTACTCTCACATTGGAGTCACTAATGAAATATGAAGCAAAATGAACAATAGTACTTCAAACAGTATTTATTTTGTTTACAATAATTGTAGGCGTCTACAGTAATGTGACTCCCAAGGTTGTCAAAGATCAGCAGCACTGGGTCCTGGGCAATTGATCACGTAGGCCTTTAAAGTGTTTGAGCCATTCAATGAATTCTTCATCCGTCCAGCCATTCTCGCTACATATCTAAATAGCGCCATGGGGGCAATTACACTCATTTAGATCAATAAATTATTTTGTTTGGGGCAATGGAAGTCACGCTGTAATAAGCAGAGTCATTGATCAACATTTTTATCATAACTACTGATAAACTTTTGTAGAATGATTACAATTACTCGCAATTGGTTTCAAATGATTTGCTGAAGTAATTCCCGTCCAACAAATTTTAATTCTTCACGAAATCTCCAAGTTCACGTCAGTAAGTCAATTTTCTGATATCACTTTCTAACATCAACCACTCACTTTCCTGATACGAACGAGATAATCGTGGATTTCGTTTTGTTTCTGTACGAAATTATGTAATCTCAGTTATATTTTCGAAATCAAAAGGGAAGTTGCAAATGCACAAAAAATTATTTGAGATCAATTTTCGTTAATATAAATTGTTCAACGAACATTATTCTTTTATTACTTATAGTTAGGTTCCAGTAATAATATAATTTATTAGTTGATTTACTTTCTACCTTGTCCTTTTTCATCAATGTCAACATCAAATGTCCATGTTTCTTCTCAATTCATTTCTGCGCAATCGACGCGAAGGCTGCAAAACAACTTCGACGAAAGCAACACCTATCACCTCGTCAGACCTTTTGTGGAGTAGATTTGTGTGACTGCTTCACCACCCTATTTCAGTTGTCACATATACCGTCACTATAATAAAAGAGCATTCACACTACATAATTATGGTACAAAACTGTAATTAATGCTAGTGGCACTACAACAGCACATATTTTCTTGTATTTTTGGAAACGATGACGTGAAATTATAAGATTGCTATTTCTATCCTCTCTCTTCAAATAATTGATTGACGTTTTCGGGCCCTCATCTCCCATGGCCATTAGTCCCGTTAGTGTAGTGAATTTTGCCCTGGGAGATGGCAGCTTTTTTCCGTCGCTTGATGGTGATATCCTGCACCAACCTACACTTTGGCCTGCGGACGATGCTGCGAATGCGCCAGGTATCTCCCCCAGCAGGGCACCATCCCAACAGGGACAGGTTCTCGCCTCACTCCGTCGACACTAGGCGGGGTATGATTACGTGAGAAAATAGCGCAACATACGGTGAGCCTGCTACAATAAAAGCTCTTAACATTGTTTTCTTTTTTTGATGACGTAGAGAAACTTACTTTCTGGATGCGCCTTCTACGGTTGATGTGTCTTTTGACTGAAAAACAATAGTGTACCTGTATTCACCCGATAGCAGAGTACTCTTCATCGGTATGTATGTGTATGATGAAGTCCACACGTCGCCTGGGACGGCTGCGGCGGCGGCGGGCGCGGCGTCCAGTCGCTCAGTATCCCCCTTCCGGCGGTGATTGTTGCTGGAAGGCCCAAGAGCTTTGCCGGCACTTTCCGAGCAACAATCAAAAGCGCAAGGGGGCGGCGGCGGCGGCGGTGGCGGCGAGTCGCCGACTGACGGCCTGCGGGCGCCTCAGCAGCAGCCGTCGCCGCCGCTCGGCCTTCCCCGCCGCGGGCCTTCGCCCGAGCGGAAAAACTGCAGCTGCCCCAATTTCTCTTTTCCGCCCCGATGCGCCGCGCCGCGCCGCACCGAAGGCGACAAGCCGCCCACGCGCACGCGGAGGAGAAAGCGAGGGCGAAGGCTGCGGGCAACAGCTTTCCGAGCACGTCAACCGCTTCGCTTGGTTGCTTCTTAGTGATTCCAGGTGCGTCAACTACTGCGCTCATGAGTCCCGTAACTGTAGTGCGTAGGAGATGGCAGTGTTCCCCCGCTGAATGGCGAGAGGACTAGCGTCGGCTAGCAAAGTTTTCCCCAACAAGGAAAATCCCAAAACCGATTTCGTCATTAGTCCCGTTCGTGTGGTGAATTATTTACCCCGGGCCCCAGGAGGGGGCGGTGTTCCTCCCCTGCTGGATGGTGAGATAGGGCACCGACCTACACGCAGGCTTACGGTGGAATTACTCCCCAGGAATCTCCCCCTGCGTGGCTGCGGCCGAGGGAAGAAGCCTTTAAGCTCCTGATTGGTCGCCCGATAGAGCAACTGAATTCGATTCACTGATTAACGTTTCCAGGCGCGTCAGATGCTCAGATTATTAGTCCAGGAAGTGTTTTTATCGAGGGAGATGGCGGTGATTTCCAGCAATGATCTACACGTCGGCTTCCGTTTTTATCCCTCACCAAGTATGTTCTCTTGGACACAGCTCCAGCCGGAGCAGACAAAAAACAAACAAAAAACAACAAATAAGCCGCAAGATATTAATTACATACTGTAAAAGTCTTCAATATTGTAGATGTAGGAAAACGCCTGAAAAATTAAAATTTGCGATTTTCGAAAAATTGA